GTTCTTTAAAGTGGAACATCCTCCACATTTAACACAACTTCGTAAATAGTAATTTCCTTAAAAACTGAAGATATTTAAATTGGTACTACTAATAACATTGTATTATTTCAATTTTTTACCGTGGAACTTCCTCCACACTTAACACAACATCGAAAATAATAATTTCACATTTGCAACTGAATTAAGATAACTAAATTGTTACTACTACTTTACTTTGCTACTTACTTTGTTTCTGTTCTCTATAGTGGCACTTAAAAAGTCTTCACATTCTACACAACTTCGGAAATAATAATCTCATTTACACATTTGCAACTGAAGATAGCTAGATTGGTACTACTAAAAACATTGTACTAATTCTGTTCTTCACAGGGGAACAACCAACAAGGCGTGCTAGGTACTATAAACCTTGTGCTAGTCCAGTTCATTTAGGGGATCACCCTCCACATTTAACAAAACATCAGAAAGGCTGGTGCTTGAGTTGCTACAATTCACACCTCGGCACTCACTACACGCAAATGAACAAGGAATTCCAAATTTCCTACAGCTGCACCTCCGACTATCGCATCCTTGTTTACATGTGCATCTGATAACTTTCAAAAGGTTGTCAGGAGCTGGAGGTTGATCAGTAGTGCGTGCATGAAGCCGGTCTTGAATTCTTAACCATCCCCAGTCTTCTGGATTTAAATTTTTCCCTCTTTCAATCCACTGTTGCACTTCTTTTTTTTTTTTTTTTTTTTTAATATATAATTCTTTATTGAAACAAATTGATATTAATACAGCAAATTAGTTACTTACCTACATAATTATAATGTTACAACTAATACTACTAATACTAATAATATAATACAACAAATTAACACTGATATTCAAACAAACTAGAAATGGTTACAAAATATAATGTAAATAACATATTAATTACATACAGAAAGTGGATGCATATTAAAACCTTTAAATAGTTAAGCATTTACAAGAGGCGACACTATCCACTTAGCTTCAAAGAAATCCTTTGTTTTTTTACTACGCAGACTTATATATTTTTCCGTTTCATATTTTACAGCAATTTTCTTTTTAAATCCATATATATTCGGAAGAATTTGACTTCTTCTACAATCCCACAAATACAATTTCCCAATCATAATTAGATAGTTTAGAAGCTTAGCAGAAGGGGAGTTTTGTCGTATCATTCCAACTAAAACATCTTGCAACGAAAGTCGAATGTTTTCCTTTAAAAGTTGGTGCCAGAATACTTCGAAGTCACGCCAGAAATCTACCGAGAAAGGACAAAGATATAGGAAGTGATATAGCGTTTCTGGTTGAGATGAACAAAATGAGCACGAGTCATTCAATTTAAAGCCAATTTTGTAAAGTTAAGCATTAGTATAGAGAATGGAGTTAAGAATTTTGTATTGAAATGCCTTAACATATGCTTCAAGAGCAACACTATGCGGGATCATAAAAATTTGTTTAACTTCCTCGAGTGTGAAATGAAATTCATTTTGCAGCTTGTTTACATTAGTTGGAAAGAGAGCCTTTCTGCTTACAAGTAAAGTATAATAGTCTTTAGATTTATTCTTTGTGACATCAAATATATTATCGTCAATTTTTAGAGAAAGTTCACCTGTTGTTGATTTATGAGTACAAATTTTTAAAATGGAAGGGATGGAGTGTCGAAGACCTGCCCAAACTAAAAAAATAGTTTTAGAAATCTTGTTAGAAACTAAGGAAAAGGAATCTTTGTTATTTAAGTCAAAGGATAGATCGCTGATGTGAACTACACCAGCTTCGAAATAGCTTTTATAATAAACTGTTTTATTATTAATGAGTATTTGTTTGTTATTCCAAAGAATATAACGCCAGTCTTTTTCTGAAGAGAACGTATCTCTAAATTCTGACCACCACTGCAGTAATTCTAGATAGAATAGAGAAATATTCAGTGGAAGGATACTAACATCATAATTGCAATGAAACAAGAAAAGGCCGCCAAAGCGTTCTAGATGATGTGTCAGATACCTTTTCCAGGTGCCATCATTTGAGCTAGCTATTCTTTTTAGCCATGCCAATCGAAGCGATATTATCATGCTATCAAAATCAATCATCTTTAATCCTCCGTTGGAGTATTCATTTATCACCGATCTGCGTGTGACTTTATCACGACCATTCCATAAGAATTGAAATAATAACTGGTTTAACTGACTTACAAATTCTTTTGGGGTAGGTATTAAAGATGACACATAAACAAATTTCGGGATTAATAGAGATTTGATAAGTGTAATTGTTCCATAAATAGAAAGTCCTCTAGAGGACCAAATTCTAGTCAGGTTTTTAATACTGTCTAATCTTTCTATGAAATTCTTTTCAAGAAGCAATTTTTGATCATACGTGTAATAAATTCCTAAAGCCTTTATCGGTTCGTTAGGCCATTTAATTCCAAAAGGCTGTGCTTTGCAGTTCCTTGAAGAACCTAACCACATAGCTTTCGTTTTGGAACAATTAATCTTTAAGCCAGAGACAATCTTGAAATCATTTAACAGCCTAAAAAGAGCAGTAGCAGAGCTTGTGTCGGCAAGTATTGCTGTCGTATCATCTGCGTATTGAAGAATTTTTGTCTCCTCACTCCCAATAGAGATACCATTGATATCTTTATTTTGTCGAATCGCAATTGCTAATGTTTCTATAGTAGCTACAAAGAGGTAAGGAGAGAGCGGGTCCCCCTGCCGTACCCCACGTTCAAGATTAAAGTATTCAGATGAGAGTCCGTTGTTTATCACACAGCTTTGTATGTTTCTGTAGAACGTTTGAACCCAATGGATGAAATTAGGGCCAAAACTGAAGGATTTCAACCAATAGAGAAGAAATTTCCATTCTACGCTATCAAATGCCTTTTCAAAATCAATAAATATCATTAGTCCAGGAATACTTTCTTTTGCAGTGAAATCCATAATATCGAAAACTGATCTAATTGTTTCGCCGATATATCGGTCTTTCAAGTATCCAGTTTGGTTATGGTGTATAATATTTGGAAGAACATTTTTAATTCTAGTGGCGATCACTTTAGACGTAATTTTTGTGTCAACGTTTACGAGAGAGATTGGACGCCAGTTCTCAATATATGAACGATCTTTTCCTTTTTTTTCTGTTAGAGTAATTACCGCTTGTTTTTGAGAACAAGACATTTCACCTTTTTCAAAGCTTTCGTTCACGCATTTAAGAAAAGGATCGCTTATTAAAGGCCAGAACACTTTGTAGAATTCTATAGGAATTCCGTCATTCCCGGGAGTTTTGTTGGTTTGAAAGCTTTCGAGGATATTGTAACATTCCTCAGCTGAAATTTTGCCTTCGCAGGTCAACTTTTGTTCTTCGGTTAATTGAGGTATATTCAAATTCTCTAGAAACTTTACAATGTTCTGACGGTTTTCCGCATCACTATTTGAACTTTTGTATAACTCTCGATAAAAACGTTTTTGTTCTTGAAGAATGTCATAGGGATCTGTCTTTACGACGCCGCTGATTACTAGTTTCCTTATATGCTTTTTTACATGATTTCTTTTTTCTAAGTTTAGGAAATATTTGGTACTTTTCTCGCCGTGTTCATGCCAACGTGCTCGGGCGCGAATTATTATTCCGTTGACTTTTTCATCATAAAATGATTCGAGCTTATCCTTAGCCGCATTTAAATTGTTGCCATTCGAATCATTGGGGTTCGTTTCGAAAACCTGTTTCGCTTCAGTATATTCTTTTTCAAGTTTTGATCCTCTTTCGTTTCTCTCCTTTGCCTTCTTTTTGGAATATTTTATAGCATGAGCTCTTATGTTATATTTTATCCAGTCCCAGATGTTACGGTGGTCGGAAAGTTCTTTTCGGCCTTCCGTGATCCAAATTGGTACCATTTTTGTAAGGTCATCAATGTACTCATCATCCTCCAATATGGAGGTGTTCATCTTCCAGAACCCAGGACCCTTAGCCTCTTTGTCCACGTTCTCAAATTCTAAATAGATAGCAGAATGGTCAGTTCTGATGGCGGGGATTATATTTGTGGCTTTGACCCAGTCATTTAAATTGTTAGAAATCAACCAATAATCAAGGCGACAAAATATCGGCGGAGATCGTTGACTCCAGGTAAAACTTTTAGTTTGCGGGTTTTTAACTCTCCATATATCTACAAGATCTAGTTGACTTTGGACATCGTTGATGAAATTTATCACAGATTTCCTAGGCGTCATTATGCCACCTTTTTTGTCCAATGTAGGATTCAGAGGACAATTGAAATCACCTCCAATCACAATATTTTCTTCTGAATCTAAATTTTCGGTCTGCAGCTTAGATAACACATTTTTGAGGAATTTAATGATGTCTTCGTCTTTGTTTGGTGCATAAACGTTTACAAGAACATACATTTTATCTTTGA